ATTCGTTTGAGGGGGGATCAATTCCCCTTGAATGGGTACCGATTCCCCTAGCCTAGAAATCCCATTTTTGAGCTCGAAAATCACCTTATTTCAGCTCAAACCTTCCTATTTCACTTCCTTTAATACTCCTAACTTTAATACACATACTTAAACTTATTTCTATTCCATAATCACTTCTTTAACTCCAAATATAGTCATTCCTATGTAATTACAAAAATTATACTAGTTTTGCAACATGTTCAAATTCTTATTCTAACACTTCCTATCCCTTAATTAACTTGATGACAAGTCAAATCTCACTTCCAATTCTTATTATGAACTCTAATCTAAGATTTCACTTTTCTACTTCCTTTCTTTAATTCTTCATATACTTCTCATCTTGAGGTTTTAAAACAATTTAAACTTCCTTTAAGCTTAACTATTGCCTAATGGTCATGAATCAACCATAAATTCATCAAGAAATTCACTAACAAGAGAATCTTACCTTAGCTTGGGTCTCACGTATGAAGAAGAAGAAAGAATAAGAGGACTCTAGAAGCTTGTTTTTAATTTCCTATACTTCCACGTGGTTAATATAATACTAACCCCAAATAATTATATTGCTATAAAAAAGACCATTTTGTCCTTCTAATCTTCATTCTTTATAATTCAATCCTACACAAAATAACTCAAATAAGTCATTGAACTTTTCCATCATTCTACTTTAAATCACCAAATACTGAAACTTTACAAATTAATCACTAACCCGACATGGAGGATGTTACAATCTTGGAACCCTTCGGATAACCTTAAGAAGAGGTATATTGATTTCCACCTTCTGAAATACGTCTAGTTTTTCCTTTTCCTCGGCTTGTTTATCTATTTTTACTAACCTTTTTGGATTGCTTTATCTTTTGGAACAGGTGGCGCAACTATTGTACCACTCCGAAGAATGATGGCGTTGACATTCTTTATTTGATTTACCTCAGTTTAAGATAAAAGTAATGCACATATTCCACATAATCTGTTTGGTCATATCTTTCCTGTAACAAGAGAGTTAACTAATTTAGTTAATTTATTTATCTTATTTTTCTAAAGAAGATGAACTTATCTCATGAACCCTTCGAGGAGGTTCATTAGTTGGGTGAAACTGTTGGGAATTTGCGGCCATTGTGGAAATTAAATCCCTAGCCTTGGTAGGAGTCATGTTCACCAAAGCTCCTCCGCTGGCAGCATCGACCATATTCATTTCTAGGGGAGTTAACCCTTAATAAAAATATTGAATGAGTGTTTGTTCGGTTAACCCATATTGTGGGCAACTAGCACATAATTTTTTAAATCTCTCCCAGTAGTCATAGAGTGACTCTCCATCAAGTTGCTTGATTTCAAGTATTCTTCTTTGTAACTCGCTTGCTTTCACCGCAGGGAAAAACTGTCAAGAAAAATGCGAGTCATTTGTGCCCATGTAGTAATAGAATTTTGGGGTAGATAAAATAACCACTCCTTAGCCGAATCAGCTAAGGAAAAAAATGAAAAGCTCTAAGTTTGATTTGATCTTCAGTTACTCCCTGTGGTCTCATGTTGTAGCATACCATGTGCAATTCCGTGAGGTTTATGTGGATTCTTGTTTGGTAATCCGCGGAAGGTAGGGAGAAGATGAATAAGGCCAATTTTTAACTGGTATGGAGTTTTGCCTTGGGAAAAATCAATGCACAAAGGCTCTTGTTCACTAGGAGCGGCTAACTCTTTGATAGTGGGATCGACCATCGGATTTGGTTCTGTATTAACGATTTCGCTTGAACTTGATTCTGAATTTGATTCTGGATTTGATTGTTATCTCCTTCTTTCCCGAAGAGTCTGTGCATGAAGTCTCCTAGCTCTGGCTTCGATTTCCGGGTCGTACTCCATTAATTCGACTGGGTTTGTCATAGTCATAAATCAAAAGTAAACAAAAATTAGTAGTTTTGGCGAAGACCCCGACAATGGCGCCAATTTGACAACTGTTATTTTGATGTCAAAATAAATTCCTTCTTCTCAATTAATAAATAAAGGAAATATGTAGTAAAGATAAGTAAGGGTCGATCCTCATGGACTTAGAAAAATCCAAATTTCTGTTTGAATGGTTTAAACCAGGCGATAAGTAGTAAAAGGGGGGTTTTGGTAAAAAGCGATTAACTAATAAAAAGCGATTTAAAGAAAAATAAAGAAAATAAAAAATGAAGGTTGAAAATGAATATGGTAAAACAACCTCAAGCCCCACTTTGACTCAATTTTCTTCAGATCATCGAGTTAGATTTTTCCTTCGGGATTCACTCGGTTACTTTGTCGACAAGGGTAATCCTCGTGACTCTATTTTTGTAAACCGAATACCCAAGACAATCTTTGATTCCAGCTTCGAAAATTGATCTGATCAACATCAATTGTCGTAGATCAATAACCATTTAAGTTCGTGAAGACCGATTCAGATTGTTGTTTCAATAACTACTAATTTCAATCTCAATTCCCTCTTGGCAAGGCTATCTCGCCAAGTGTGTTCCCAGGAAGTCGAATGTGCTTTCAATAAGCCGATCCTTCCTCCCACACATTTAATCGCAACAACATCTTGACCAAAGTCAATCTTTGATTTTGAAAACTGATTTATTTTGAAAAATAAGCACAGAGATTGAGAGAGATATTCTGAAGTTATTAATATGCTTTTCAATTCTCACGTTGGAATTGAGTCATCGCTTCAGCTCTCGGCTTAAGAGAAAATTAGCTAAGTATGACAAAAGTCATACTTAGCAATTTAAAAACAAAACTTAAAATAAGAGAAAAATGAAAACTTGAAAAATAATAGAGAGAACTTTTATAAAACTAGAAAGGAAAAGAAGAATAAATTATGAGTTGTGTGTTTAGGCTTCCCCTAAGAGGGTATTTATAACCTCTAAAAACCTAGAGATAAACATAGAAATTAAAATAAAAAATAATCCTAAAGACAATTCTAAATGTTTTTAGACGAAATGAAGACAAATAGATTGGAAGTTTTTGGTTAACCAACCTACATTCGTAGTCATAGCATTAATACATTATTGTCAATTTTCTCATTTTGATTATTAAATTGTTATTTTTAATAAAATATTATTTTTATTATTATAAAGTTGAAGGTAATATATATATATATATATATCATGTCATTTTCAACCTCTCAATAGTAGTTCACATATTACTTTTTAAAAAATATTTAATTTATATGATGATGACACATGATGCTATTTTCTTAAATCTTATTTTAACATAAATCATGAAATAAGATTAAATTTTAAAATTTTGCTTACCTTTGAAGAATAATGAAATTAACGACATCACTCAATAAAAAATCTATAAGCAGTGCATCTCTAAATCCCAAGGTAAATTAATTTGTTTTCTTGTCATACTATATCTCATATGTTTTATCCACCTATTTGGTTGGAACCTTATTAAGAAGATAGGCCACATTTCTATGGAAATCCCTTATGAGGCGGTGTCTATTGTGACAAAATTTTATTTTATGTTATCAATAAAGATATTTTCTGATCGATGTATGCAAATATTCTTATTAGTTTGTCTCTTCGCATCATCCCTAAATTCTTTGAAATTTTTTAAAAGTTTCAAACTCATTTGGTATACACAACATTTTCATCAATAGTCCATTGTTTCGATTTGCTAATGCTTTCGAGTGAGGAGTGCCCCTTTTGTCTTGATTTCTTATGAATTATTTTTTAGTTTAATCATTTGTATCTGATTTATTGATTGATTATTTCGAATTGATTTTTATAAAAGTTAATTACAAGGACAATCATCCAATTTGATTTGTTATCTCATCCCACTAAATAACTTAATTACCGAGGTTTTTTTTTTGGTCAATTCTTCATCTAAGGCTAACGAGGAAAACTTTCAAAGGAATGCTGACCTTTAATCTCCTGGAATAAAAGAATAAATGTATATCCTTATCACAACAGATGAGAAAGATTTGTAAGTAATGCCGACCTTGTAGTCATAATATTTCGTGGGGAGGGCAGCTCTTTTTGACAAATTGCATGGAAAATACTTGGTCAAACCCTGCTGTGGGCATGTATGGATTGGATCCTCATCAAATGTGATGGAAAGACCTGTTCCAAGGTAGGCCACAACCCTACTTAAATATGTAAGAAACTTGGACAATGTTTCTTAGGCAATAGTAAGGGTGTAAATGAATGATGTTTATATTTGTTTGATTAATTTTGAAGATGTTCATGTTTGGTTTATGTTCGTTTAAAATTTTAAAATTTTGTTTGTGTTTATTTATTTATTTTTTAAGGAATTCGTGTTTGATTAGTTTAATGTTCACGAACATGTTTGTCAATATATTTGTTTATCATTCGCCAGCATATCTGTTTATATAATTCGAATCCCCTAATCAACTAACACTCTATTTTTATTTGTAATCCAAAGAAAAATAGTAAAATTATTCGACTAGTCCTTAGACTTCACAGTTTAAACTCCAAATTTCGCATTAGCTTCAATCTAATTATTGTCTTCACCAATATCTAAAATATAAAAAAAGAAAAGAAAAAGTGAATCAAGTAAATAAACTTATAAACGAATTTATTCATAAACCAAATACACATTTATATATTTTCTTTTATCTATTAAATAAACATAAAAGCATTATACTTCTTTTATTATAAACGAATCTTATATGAGGATTTACTAAAGTACAACTCATTTACGCCCTACTAACTAGGGCTTAGGTAGGGTATTCTCTTTTGGACAAGTGCATAGGTAGGCAATTCAATTAAATACAGCTTTGATGGAAATGAAGTTGAGTGGTGACATAATCGTAAATATTGTTATTTGGTTGGTGTACTTCCCCTAAAAGCATATTCATTTCTCATCTTCTAACACTTCACATTATCACGGGATTGCTGTTTCCAAATGCAACATTATGAGCTTCCCCAGGGCTCAGTTGGAATTTCCAACCTGTCGATCTCGATGCATTAATTATATACAAAGCTTGGCCATGGCATTCAAATTCCCATACCTACTCCATTCAAGAATAATCATACAACTACAATTTCAGGCAGTAGTAATGATACAAAGTTACAGCATACATAATTTAACAAGTGCACTTATTTAGCCTCTATGGCGTTTCTAATTTGTGGGGATGCTGCGGAACGATTTCAAAGCCTTGATGGCCGTTGCTCTCAGTATGTATTGATGATATGCCGCCGCGGTGATTGCTCCGATCAACGGACCCACCCAAAATATCCACTGTTTTTGGTCACCAACACAAGGTTAATGTTTAATCTGTGCTTTGTGAAAGTGAAAAATGAAATTTTGACCATGAACTCACCTGATCATCCCAGGCTTTTTCATCGTTGTAGATCACGGCGGCACCGAGGCTCCTAGCCGGGTTTATTCCGGTGCCGGTGATGGGAATGGTGGCCAGGTGCACCACAAACACAGCAAAACCTATTGGCAACGGAGCTAAAACCTAGTCAAACCACACCCGAAAAAGCTGAGTTATAAAGAGTAGTTGTTCCAATAGATTGATGTTTTGTGCTACTCTACATAAAAAAAATATCTAGAATATATAATAATTTAAATAATTTTAAAATTTTTAATGCGATGGTCTGTCTACTCATGTTATCCATCCCTATACTACTATAAATATACTCACAGGGACGTGAGAATCACGTGCACTTCTTTTGGGATCGGTGGCGGAGAAGACGGTGTAGACGAGGACGAAAGTTCCGATGATCTCGGCTCCCAAGGCGGTGCCATTTGAGTATCCAGGAGCCACGGTGTTGGCACCGCCCCCTAGCCGATTATACGCGTGCCTCATGAATGCCTGGGCTAAACCTGCGCCACAAATGGCTCCCAGGCACTGTGCAGCCATGTACGCCACTGCTCGAATCAACGAAACCTTCCGGGCAACGAACAGTCCGAAAGTAACAGCCGGATTAATGTGACCGCCTGCTCAAGTTTAAGAACCATCTTAGATACATATTTATACACAACAAACAAGGCAATTAGTTTCGCTGATACCAGAGATGCCGGCGGTGCAGTAGACGAGAACGAAGATCATGCCACCGACAGCCCAAGCAATACCGAGAGGACCAACACCGTCGCAAGCGGCTGTTTGTTTCTTGTGACCGATAACAGTGGCGACTAAGATGTAAAGAAACAAAAGTGTAGCAACGAACTCAGCTAGGAGAGCTCTGTAAAAGGACCAGCTCTTGAGCTCATCCATGTCCACCAACCGTGCCGGCGGCGGGTCTACGTAATCCTTGCCGCTATTTTCCATGGTGGCTAGGCTATCTTCCTAGTGTGTCGGCTCTTGTAATTAAGGCTAGGCAGGGGTACTCTCTTTGGGAATAAATAAGCAGTTTGACAATAGTGTTGGATAGCAAATGCGTTGGATTGTATCAGTTTACAGCTAGCCAGTGACCGAACAATTAATGCCTCAATAGTTTGTTTTGTTGGCAAAGGCCACCTTGTGTCGTAGAGTCACTATTTTCTTTTCAAAAGAATGACTAATTTTTTATTACGAGTATATTTAAGTCCTTTAATTTTTTATATAAAATTAATGTCTTCATTTTTACAAGATATAATATTCTTTCTTATTTATTTTTGTAATATCCTCTCTCATCCGATGAACATTTGATGTGAAATTAAATAATTAAAGAATAAATTTAATATAAATTATTATCCTCTTCTTAAATAATGTGTCCTTAAAGATGTAAAACGTGATCACTTTTTGACTTGAAAACTTTTCTTTTTCTTTTATGATTTGTATTAATATTTGTAAGGCATGAAGGTCATAATATTGGGGTATCTTGAAGCCAGGAGAAAATGGAAGTGCGAGAATCTAGTTTCGTAAAGCTTAATAAACGTTAATTGAATTCTGTCAGCATATACAATTGTTTGCTTAATAGTGGTGTTGATTCAGAACGAACATATCTTTAACTTTCCCGAAGAGCAAAGGCAACCATAAGTAACTTGTCAAATGAAAATAAATTATTTTAAAATTAAAAAATATTTTTTTATTATTATTGGTTGTATTTGTAAAATAAAAAGTTTATAATATTCAACATCCGAGAATTTATATTTCCAAATAATAATAAAAAATTTGATTAACGATGTGATTTAAACATTTGACTTTTATTTAAAAAATTTAAATTTAATTTATCATACATCCATAATATTATAATATCATATCAAATAATTGTTAATTTATATGGTAGAAATTTAATATTTATAATATAAAATTAAAAGATGATATTTATTTTATCTATATCTATTTTATTTTCAATTCAATCAATATAATAAAAGTTGTTTCAATTAAAATTAAGAGTAAAATTAATTTTTAATTATAATTGAATGGTCAATTGAGATATTTCTTAATGGTTTTGTGCTCATTTTGTAACAAAATTAAAATTTAATATCCATTATGTAACTTTTAAAAGTTGAATGTTCAAAAAGATAATTTTGATATGATTTCGTTCAATGTTGAAGCTAGCTTTCTTTGGTATATTTGGTTGGTTGCATAGGAATGAGGCTATTTTCAAAAATAAAAGTTGTGATTCAGATTCCATAGTCGATTCGGCTATTGGTTTGACAGCTTTCTGGAGCAAATGCTCAAACTGGGTCCATTCTTCTCTACGTTGGATTTTTTCAGAAATACTAATGAACTGATTCTGCTGAGATATATAGCTTTGTTGGTGAATTGTTTAGAGTCTAGTGGTTCTAGATTTCAGTGTGCGCCTTACTGTTCTGAAGGTGCAGTATTCTGGCTGGTTGCTGCTCGGCGAAGGATTGCTTTTTTTTTTCACGGCTGCTCGTGCGGTCTGCTACTTGCTCATCTCAAGGTTCGTTGTGTTGATTGTTGAGAAGTCAATTCTGGGGCTTCTCTAAACAACAATTTCGTATTCTCCCTGTTGCATTTTCTTGTTTTGGTGGTGTTCTTCCATTGCTTATCTGTAGTGCAAGTGTTTTATGGTGTAGTTAAGTTCTTGTAGCCTTGTTGTTGGCAGGTTTAATTCCTTTTTTCATTGATCATGTGCGCTCTTTTCCCTCCATCTAGATCAGGGAGGGTTTAATTATAATGAATGGAATTCTAGAATTTTCCTGACAACTATAATTGAATACTATACGCATCCACATGTACATATATTTCCATATAATATATACAACATTGCTAGACAATTCCACAAACATTTAACCTAAGACCAAACAAAGTTCAAACTTGAAAACAATCGTTTACCCCGCTTGTTGCAGAGATTCAGTCAAGATACAACTAGTACAACGGGAAGCGGAAACTTGTGGTCCATACCCAATATTATTTTATTGTTCCATAGGCCAAAACCCTAATTCATCTAACTTGGGTCCACTCTACAACTGATACACGAACATTATATTTATATTATATCAAAGACACTGTCTCTTATCAAACTTGAGTACGCACTGTGTCTGTCCATCATCCCTTATTGGTAAGTTTTGTTTAAGCAATTGAAAGATTAAAAGGAAAAAAAAGGAGGTTGTGGCTAGGGTTTGGGTTAGGCAACAGTCATTTTCTTAGAATTAATAAGACAGAAAGCGAGCGACAGAGACATGGAATGATATTGTGATGTATGGTTCACAGATATGGTGGAGAAAATCACAGCAAAATGGATGATTACCCGAAAGAAAAGGGTGTTTACTTCTACACACTGGTAAACGTAATAGCCCACTTCTTATGACTTTTATATATAATAGGGTTTTAAATAATATCATTTGGATCTATCGATAAAAAGATTCGTCTACCTATTAAATTTATCATACCTGAATCTAATCTATTAAGAAAATTTTATCTATTTAACGATTTAATACAAGTTATCCTAAGATACAATCATGTTCATGTGAATTTTTTTACTAATATAAATATTAGAGGGGTTTAAGTTTAGGGAGTGAGTTACCATATATAGGGAATGGTCAAAGTAGTTAATTGTCATTTAATAATTTTATCCATCTAATACTCCTATAAAAGGATAATTCATCTTCTTAATTGGAACGTACAATTCCGTTCATTTCTTTCTTTCTTAAATTTTTTTTTTTGGTTGAATAGAGCAATACATGTCGATTTCAATTACTCACTTCAGTTGTACGAAGTTTGGGGTACTAAATTATTCTCAGAGACAACATCTATTTTTGGGATTATACTAATTCGTGTAAAATTACTCATAAAACAATAATTTCTACCACATCACAATAAATCGGTCTATTTTTTATTATGTTATTATTAATTAATGCTATGGATATTATTTTATATCAGTCCTATTTCTAATAACTTTCCCGACCAATTCAATGACTAAAAGAAGTTGGGATGAAAAGAAAAGACTGGACTAGAATTTTCTATTAGTTACCTACAAACCCACATGAGGAGAAAGAGTGTTTTTTTTAATGGGGGAAGAGAAGCTTTAGTGCAAATGCATGATAAGGATATGAAATCTCATGATGCTAATGTCCGAAATCAAACAAATAACACAAATCTGAAAGAAAGAGGCTGCTGCAGCAGCTGGCACAGTCATAATTATTGGGGGAAAAAGGAATATAAAAGACTGTTTACAAGTTGAACTCAAGGAGGATAATATATAAACAACATAACACTAAGCAAATAAGGATAGTGTTTTTTTCCTTCTTTCCAGTGCACCAAAATCTCAAGCAATTGAGATCGATGATCCCCTTATTGAATGCCATTAATTGCATATGTTTTTGTGGCGCATGCATGCTTCCTATAGCGTGTATAAGTACTCTAAACTAGACACGGCAAAATCATTATTCATCTCTCCTGTTGAATTTTCATGGGATTCATTTCAAGTTTCAGTACGTAAAACAAAAGTGAACTCGACTGCAGAACGATTTGCATCTTGCTAGAAATAAAGCATTGTTATTTGCATTATGGAGGAACATAAAATTTAGGGAAAATAAAGCTGAAACTGGTTCGTTAGTTCGGTTCAAAAACTGGTTTGCCAAAGCTGCTTATTTTACTGCAAATAGAAGCTAGTTTGTCAGATGTGAATTCAATTTCCAAAACTGTACTTGCTAGACCTAGCTATGGAGGGTATCGTCTTTAACAGCATTTCATATAGGAACCTGGAGCTCCAATCCAAGGTACAGCATTGTGTGAAGCAAAATCCCTGAAATTCTTAATGCATAGGGTAATCAAAAGCTCTATAAAGAATTAAGAAACCTATTAATGGAAGATTGCAACATCTGAAAATGACTAAAGATATACTTTCTTTACAGTGTGATTCTATTCACAGTTCAACGGAATAAATTTGGACCAAGTTCAATCAGAATGAAATTTAGATCGTATCTCGTTGATGGAAACAGATTTATTCATCTCTTCCAGATAAAGAGTGATATTCAATAAGATAATAGTCGTAAAATAGTATTTTTATGAAGATAAATAAAGGCATGGAAAGAGGATGGAAATAAAGTGGGAGAAGAATATAGTCGGTATCCTCTCCCAAACGTGGCTAAGAGGTATTTACAGTGATTCGAGTTATTGGTATCAGACAGAGAATAATTATGATTATTTATGATTCAACCGATTAAATAGATATAATCATCAAATAATAATTTCGTTCTAGAAAATCATGTGAATCTATTAGAAATTTTATGTGTACATTTTAATTGGATTGAAAACCATGGTATTCGTTTACTTAGATATGAATTCTTTGAAGGCTACTATAAGCAAAAGAATTTATCTAAAAATTTTCAAATGTCTCGGGATTCATTTATCTGGACATATATTGGGGACGAGATTTTCAGTACTCGATCAACTTATTTAGCTCTCCTTCGAGAAAGTGGGAATGATATGTCGTGGATTTAGAAACTCTCTTTACCTCTTCGCTGGATTTTCTTTCTATGGCTGGTTTGGAGAAATCATTTAGTTACGAATGCTAGACGCGCTTCTTGGTCTGCAGACTTTCTTCCCTATTGCTCGGCTTATGGCGGTTTGGAGGAAGACATGATCCACATCCTGAGGGAGTATAGCGTTGCTAAGGGAGTTTGGAACCAATTTCTTGTGATTTATTCCTCGAATGATTTTTACGTGACAGATTTACAGACTTGGTTGCGCGACCAGCTTGATATTGCAGTGCATTCGCTGCCTCGGATTACTTGTTTTGCAGCGTCCCTTTAGAAGCTATGGACTAGTCGTTGTAAAAGGATGTTTGATGAGAATGATGCTAGCATGAATGATGTCTCTTTGTGGCAATCCATTCTGAATTCTTCGAGGGAAATTTTCTTGGCCGTCGCACCACCTGAATGAAAGCTAGTCCAGCAACGACTTGAGTCATGGGAAGCGCTGACGAGGGGAAAGATTAAGATGAACACTGACGGAGCGAGCAATGGAGATCATGCAATTGCTAGAGATGGTGGAATTTTTCGGGATGCAAGAGGCCATTGGATTTTAAGGTTCTTGGCGTATCTCAGATAGTATTCGAGTGTTGCAGCTGAGCTCCATGCTATCCGTATCGGTCTTACAATTGCTTGGTTATTTGTGAAGTGGATGCCCATTTGGCTCTTCATTTGATTGCAGATGGTCATGTTTCTACGCATCCCTTGGGCTCTATTATAGTAGATGTTCGTAGTCGGCGTGATCGGGAGTGGAATGTCGAATTCCAACACCAATTTCACGAAGGGAATTTTTGTGCTGATATTCTGTCAAAAATGGGTTGTGAGATTGAGGATGATATTGTTATTTTTACCCAATCGTCGGACAAGGTGAAGTTCATGCTCGAAGGGGATTGTAGGGGTGTTCAATTCCCCAGGGGTTTCATTTTACACTAATTCTGTCTTTCTTTATTTACCCCTTTGTAAAAAACAATAAGGGTAAAGTATATAAATAGTCCCCAAACTTTTAGGATTCTTGCATTTTGATCACCTAACTTTTGAAACTTACAATATAATCATCAAACTTTCAGTTCGTTTTCATTTCCCCCCTGTCGTTACCTCTGTTAATCTTTTGCTGATGTGGTAGTTAAACTTCTGTCAACTCTCTTCTTCTCCTTCTTCTAAAAACCCTAACCTCCAAAAAAATAAAAATCCCAAAAATCATAACCCCATTGAAAATCATAAGCTCCACAAAATCAGAAATCCAAAAATCATAACCCATTAAAAATAATAACCTCCAAAAAAATCAAAAACCCAAAAATCATAACCCCACAAAATGATTCTCCAACTATGGTTGGTTGCTTATGTCTCAGGCTGGTTAACTCTTTTTCTTCCACCCATTCACCAAACAAAGGATCGACTTATCGATTCTATGGTTTTCCTACATTGCTCACATTAAATCATGTGCCAGAATGTGCTTCTCATCTCCCCCAACTTCACCCGATTGCTCACAAAATTATAGTTCTTCCTTAGTTCATACGTGTAACATGATCCAGGTCTAATAAAGAATCTTTTTATCTTGTTCATCTTTATTGTTTTGTTTGTAAAGAAGAAAAACTAAATTGAACTCCGAGTATGCTTGTTGATTTGCTAAAGGCGTGAGCCCTATAAATATCAATTAATCCCCTCATTATTCTTTGTCCGGTGTTTTGAGGATAAACAAATCATGAAAAGGTGTAAATTCTCCGCTGAATAAATGGGACAGTGGTGTAATCTTCCTAATGATATTTAAGCTACGATTCGTTCTTATCTTTTTGGCAAAGATAGTATGAGTTGTTTTTTGTCATTCATGGAGGTTGGCTCCACCAACACCAATCCTTAATCCTTCCTCTACAGGAACATGTCGATATCCATCTCTTTTCCACTTCTCCGGAAACAATTCGATTTTCATAGTACATGTTATGATTTTCTCTGGTAAACCTTAATCATATTTTGTAGAGTTATGATTTTTGGGTTTTTGATTTTGTAAAGGTTATGATTTTAAATGGGTTATGATTTTTGCGTTTTTGATTTTGTGGAGGTTATAATTTTCAGTGGAGTTATGATTTTTGAGTTATGATTTTTTTGGAGGTTAGGGTTTTAATAAGAAGAAGGAGGAGGAGGAGAAGAAGAAGAGAGTTGATGGGATAAAAATAAAAACGAATTGAATGTTTGATGACTGTATTACAAGTTTCAAAAGTTAGGTGACCAAAATACAAACGTCCTAAACATTCGAAGATTATTTATATACTTTACCCAAAAATAATAATTTCCTAATGTCATTTCCGGACTCATAACCGACCTAAGTTTGCAAAGTCTCTTCTTTTCCATTAATATTGCGTTGGCAATCAATTTAATGCATTAATCATTGTTTCAAAGACAATCTCTTTCATTTTTTTTCTCTTATATCAAGGTTCATCATTTCATGCATTAATCGTTTTTCCTTTCTATGCGTCTTCTGTCACTTCCCTGTTTATGAACATCGCTGTCAACTTCAGTCTTTCACCTCTCAGATATTTCTCTTATACCCCTTCTTCTCTCCTTCTATAGTCCCACTGCTAACTCATTCCATTTCATGCACTTGCTCTCTTTGTAAGCTAAGCTTTTGTTTGCTTCTCTTTTTTTCTTCCACTATGGAACCCCAACAACAGCCAAATGAAGAGAATGGCAGCAGTGGGAAAGAAGGGTTTGTTTGTAGGCAGAGTAGTACACGGTGGACACCCACCACTGAGCAGATCAGAATATTGAAAGAACTTTACTACAACAATGGGGTTAGGTCCCCCAGTGCGGATCAGATTCAGAGGATCTCCGCTCGGCTTAGACAGTACGGGAAAATCGAAGGCAAGAATGTGTTTTATTGGTTTCAGAACCACAAGGCTCGTGAGAGGCAGAAGAAAAGGTTCAACACCACCACAACTACTGATCATCATGTCCCCATGCAAAGACCTAATGCTGCTGCAAATGGTAATAACAGCAAGCTGTATCCCACCATAACTCCAGGTAATTGGTTTCTGATGTTTTCTATTTCCCTTTCTTTCTTGGTGTTCATTTTTTTCAACGAATTGTCTGTTTTGCAGGTTATTCTTCTTCTTCAAATGGTGTGCTTACTGTTGGGCAGATTGGGAACTATGGGTATGGTAGCAGCAGTGGTGGTACATCTTATGTTTTCTTTGACAAGAAAAGATTCATCGGAGAAGATGATTATGATGTGTGAACCCACCTTTTTGTCTTACTAGGATTTAAATTTTTAAAAATAGGATAGAATTTTGTTAGGATTCAAACTCCTAAAAATAGAATAGAATTTTACTATGATTTAAACTCATAAAGATAGGAGCCACAAGCACTATAAATAGCCATTGTAATTCATTATTGTAACACACGATTTACACACAAAACACAGAAGAAAGTACGGAAAATACAAAGGCAAAGTTATTGTAAATGATTCGAAAAGGAAATAAAAGGTAGCATCTTTTTTACATTGGTTCGTTCATTTCTCGCATGTGCACGTTATTTTTCTTGAGATTTGATTCGAACAACCCAAAACGTGGGTTGCGCATATAACCAAAAAGGGGTGGGGTTTCGAAGTTTCGAACCTAAATCTACCCCGAGGCGTGTTCATTTTTTTTAAATATTTAATTCATCCCCTAAATTATTTTTTTCCTACTTTATTACTCTTGTTATATATACATGTTACTTTCTATTAATTTTATTATATATGTATATATGATTTTTTAGTGTTATTATATATATATATATATTTATATATTTTCTATTTTACATGTATAAATACGTATATTATTTTTTATTTTCTTTTTTTATTATTATTATTTTACTTATATATATATACTTTTACTTTTTTTTATATATTTTACTCATTTATTTATCTATTTTCTTTTTATCTTTATCCTATATTTTATGTTTTTATATTCTTTTACTTGTTTTATTTATTTATTTACATTATCATTTTATTTTTATTTAGTTGTTTGCTATGTATATATTAGTATTATCATATTTTTTATTTTATATATTCTATTTATTTTATATTTACTTTATTTCTTTCTTAATCTCCTTATTTTATTTGTTTTACTTTATTTATTATTTATTTATCTCTTCTAACCCATATTTTGACTTTTAAAGGGTATATTTGTAAATCCGTCAAAGGTAAGTAATTTTGGATCATTATTTTATCTTTTAATCTAAACTTATAATTTTTTTTTAAATCAAAGACAACTGGAAATTACGTAGTACCGAAAGGGCAGTTCAAGGGTGTTAATCCTTCCTTGATTGTAACCGACTCCCGAACCTGACACATCTTTGGAAAGACGCAGATCAGGTAAGAAATAAGGTATCCGATCAACCTATTTATTCTTAAATAAATGATCGGTGGCGACTCCAATCCACATTTTTTAAGTCGAAGCCCAATCCCGGGGCCCAACCGAAAGACGGTTGCGACAGCTTGGCAACTCCGCTGGGGACTCTCAAGTAAGTCAGGCTAAGGTAATTTTCAGTTGTCTTTTTAACGAAAAGGGTAAGTTTAAATTTTAAGGTAACATTTCGATCCTTATTGCTTACTTTTGATTATATTTTTTTGAGTAAATAGTTGTACTAACCGTTTTTTCAATGATTTCAGCCCTTAAAGTCTTTTTTCATCTAAGGCTCTAAACCCGAGCTCCGAACCCGTTTTAAGTGGGGGTGAAAGCGACGCATTCGTGTGAATTTATTCACCGCATATGCCTAGCAAGTAGCCTTCGGGATTCATATACCTTATGTCTTCGTGTGAATTTATTCTCCGCATAGACATAAGGGAATGTGTCCTCTCGAGTTTAACTTAGTCCACACAAGCCTGTGATGGGTTTAGGACTAAGGGTCTGGCAGGCCCAATGGGGCACCAGCAAGGAGAACTCGGGTACCGTTTTTTTAGAACCTAACCCGAGAGACTTTGAAGAATTAGAGCCTACCCCAAAACCTCATTTCAAACTCTAGGATGCCGGAATTATTTCATGCTTTACCTTTTGTTCAAAGCATGCAAACTAGACAAATATGCGGTTAGGATTTGTTTGAAATTAGCATGCGAGATAGAGATCATGTCCGGGTAGGAATAATAAGCATGTGGGGTAGATATCATGTGGGGTAGGATTTTCATTTTTATGATTGTTTTTGATTATTTTTCATCTCACTAACTCTTTTCATCTTTATTTTATTTTATTTTCATCACTTTCATCATTTAAAAGATGTGTTGATCCACCAAAAACGTGTTTGTTAAACATGAATAAGTTGCATTAATGGACAAAGGGGTTGTAATACAAGAGATGAAAATACAAATGATAGTCTACAAGGCGACTATGTGTCACATTCAATCCAGAAGACGTGGTGCCCACAATTGAAGAGTATCACTCTGCTACATTATAAAGGACTCAGAATGAACTGAGTCTACATCAAGCACAATGAAAGCTTATCTTTGAAGAACTGACTGGCAGAGGTTGCAGGGACAAGATGAAGGTTATGTATCTTGGAAGTCCCTTTAAACACGAAAATGGAAAAATGATAGCTGAAATTGGATACCATTGCTGGCGAATTCAAGAAACAGACTAATGAACTTCACATAGTTCCTATCAGTTAAGGGCTCCAATGACGAATTCGTTAGGAACAAGCTCAACAAAAGTAAATGCTCGAGATGCGGTCATTCGAGACTTCTTGGACCAGTACAAAAAACAACTCAACATTTTCACGGTTCATCCAGAGAGGCCGGAGCGGTTCGACGGGTTATTCAACCGGTGAAAGACGAAAGAAGAAGACTAGTCAACATGTCAGAAACTGTTAGGATATTTTTGTCTCTTAAAAGATAAAACATTTTTGTCCCCAATAAGGATTATTCATAATAACAGGCACATTTCTTGGATCAATGCCTCGAACATCTCATGCATTTTTGTATTTTGCCTTTTTGCATCTTCATCTACATTTTTAAGCATTTTCACAAACATGAAATTAAGTCATGAAGGACTCGATGAAGTGGATTTAACCACATGGAAGCAAGATTGTAACATTAAAGAGCTTGATCAGCTGATGGTAGGACAAAGCCTGTCAGGATGATCTAAGAAAAGAATCCCCATATTCTAAGGGCTACGATGTTAAAGCTGTTAGCTGTTACCACATAAGAAGCCCCAAACATTCATCTGAAAACTGTAAGGCGCTTGCCGAAGAAGGGGGCATGGCATATACCATTTGCACTTAGAGGATTGTTTTGTTTGAACACGTCTTTGATCTTTCATGTTTGCTTAATCTTTTAAAGGATTGAATTTATGCTACTTTCTAAAGTGGGGCAATTGAATAAATTTTAATCTTTAGTTCTTCGAATATTAAATGAATTAAGGATTCTTTTAATTCTTCAAGAATTACAGATTTTTGACATATGACAAGATTAAACCTTTCTTATCATGTCTCAAACCCCAAAATAAAATACCTCAATTCTTTACCCAAAATAACTCATGTTCATTACCAAAAAGACCAAATTCTTGAACATTGCCTTTATCTTTTCGATACACCCATACCTTTCTTTGAGTCAATAAAATCACACAACTGTCTTTTTAGACTCAAAATTGACATTTTAATATCATTAAAACCCAAGGCATTGAGTTGTTCATCTGAACATGAGCATTATTCTAAAGACACAACTTGGGGCATCTCGCGGGGAGCTTGAACATTGAGACATCTGGGGGAAAAAGAAGAAGAATTCATCCGAAATAATTCTATCATGCATTAACTACATTGTTTTCATGTGAATAGAACTAATCCTGAAAATCTATCCCCCTAGGGATACCTCTTATGTGAAGACTTACATGTATGAAATGATGAATGGTTTTCTTTCTTTATCCCTTCACAACAGGAGAAAATATATATCCCTTGTGTCCCATTTTGAGCCTATAGTATTTTTTCTTCTGATTCAACCCTAACCAATGATCACCCTCCACACTAGGGGGTAAGGTGGAAGAAATCTGGTCACATGAGTGAAGACATCGATCCAAAGGTGGACCAAATGGCAAGTGCGAAGATCCAATCAAGAACAAAAAAGAAAAGAAACAAATAAACAAATAAAAAAGAGAAACAAAAGAAAAAAGAAAGAACAAAAATCAAAAAGAAAAAGGGACAAAAAGCACATGCAAAGATTCCCTAAAGACAAATGGCACATCAAGCTTCAAACTATGAGATTGATCAAGCACAATCATTACCGAATCACTGAATCACTTCACTCGAAGATCATAGAGCATCAATAGAAAGAGACATTTTGAGCAAGACAAGATTGAAGGCATCAAAATGAATTGATCCTTGGTTCAAAACCCTGTAACACTTGTTTGGACCTATTTATCCTTTTCTTTCATAACCATGAGCCCTGACCTACATTACGTGCCTTAAAAGTCCCTTCTAATCATACATGGATTTCTAAACAGAAGAGACTATCTTCAGATTTCATCCCGCCCATCAGGATTAATCTTTGTTTGCAAAAAAACAATGTAATTAATGCATGGTATAGAAAAATAACAAAGGAGGGTTCGAGTTGAAAACCTGAAAAGGCGGCTCGAATATAAAAATTGTGCAATTGAGGCGATCACACAAGTTCCTTGATACGGCATCGCACAATCCAAGTGTGACCACTATGGTTGGGAGTCAGAGAACACTTCTAGTAGAGGAGCATGTAAGATACCCCATCAAACCTTAGAGCATCAAATGCCAAACCTTTGACCAAACACAATAACCTGAGACTTTTTTATCCTTTCCTTACTTAACCACTTCCCAAAAATAGCTTTGATCTTGACACTTGTCAAATAGCTATAATTCATTGAAGGATTAACAGTATAATTAATTCTTTGATATCCGAAGAACTCTAGTTTATGATTCCTCTCAATTGTAAAACCGTGAAAGTGACAATATTTTCAAAACTTTGGATCAAACATTTTTCAAAACTCTTTTAATTGATGTTTTCATAACTTTGAAAATAAAAGAGAAAGAAAAACATTTTTTTCAAACAAGACAGTCTCTCTAGAGTGGATCTTGGTAAATGACATGTGACTTTTAGATACAAAACTCATGCTCAGAATCAATGCTGAAGCAAGAAATGAGGAACATTTAGGGCATCTTTGAAGATTCAACATCAAATATTGGGGCATTTTTAGATATTGGGGCATCATTTGGGGATTCAACATTCTAATGCAAATTATC